ACTGAGGGAAGTCGGGGCAGGAATTCAGGGAAGAAACCTAGAGACAGGAACTGAAGCAGAGACCATGGTGAAATGCAGTTTACTGACTTGCTCCTCATGGCTAGCTCAACTTTCTTATGGCACCCAATACTGCACTTTTGATAATGGTCTGGGTCCTCCCATATCAATCATCAATTAAGAAAAAGGCCCACAGGCCAATCTGGAGGGGTCATTTTATCAGTTGAGGTTCCTGCCTCCCAAATGACTTTGGCTTGTGTAAAGTTGACATTAAATGAGGCAACACACTATGTATGTGTGTATGACATGAGAGCAGAAGGAGGGCTATTGAGAGAAGAGGGGAACCAAGAGGGGACATGGCAGTATAGGCAGATAAGAGCAAGAGTCAATGATATATTTATGAAAACATCATAACAAACACCATTATAATGTACATTAGCTAAAAAAAAAAGAAAGAAAAGATGTTCAACCAAAGGTGTGAAAGAGGTTAGGGAATTAGCAAGCAAATATCCCCAGAGGGATGCAGAGAGCTTGAGCCAGGACCACACACCCAGTAAAGTCCAGTGTGGTCCACAGGTATAACAGATGCAGTCCTATACCGCTTTTGCAAATCCAGCTGGACTTGATGTATGATGTGCTTCATGGATAAGAATGGTCATACATCCTATCTGTGTGACACCTGCCATACATCCTTTTTGTGTAATACTGGTAATGTAAGTGTCCCTCGTCCTCCAGCTATTAATGCAGCCTGAACAGTAACCCTGCATGGTGGGTACTGCTGTTGTGCAGTTACATTTGAGGAAACGGGGCTGTCTACAGATTAGGTAATTTCTCTCAAGGCCATAAATACCTGTACATGGCGATGGTGGGATCCACAATCAGAATTCAAACTCAAGTAACAGGGTTCTGAAGACAGGGATGGGGCCGGAGAAGGAGGGGGACTTGTGGGAGGCAGATAGATATAAGAGAATGGGCCTGCATGGAAGAGGAGAAGGAAGCAAGAGCCAAAGAGGCAAGAATGCAAGCTGTACAGAAGACAAAGTCAAAGAAAACACTGGGGCAAGCATCACAATGGCCAAAGAGCCCCAGCCACTCTCTGGGAAAACTGGCGTAGCTGAGCTGGAGTCCACATACATAAGCCAGCAGCAAACCAAGGTAAGTTTACAGGATAGGAGAAGTCTCTACACTGTGGTACTCAAAGAAATCACACACAAAATAGAAGGCCTGGGACGTAAATGTTTAAAATAGCTTGAATGAGGACACCAGAACTACATCTTTCTAATTTAAATCTGTCCGAAGTTCCTGAAACAGGAAGTGTCCTATATTGCTTCCTGTTGCTGATAAAACATTGACCAAAAGCAACTTGGAAGGAGTTCATTTGCCTTACACTCCCTTATCACAGGCTGTCATTTAGTTAAATCAAAGTAGGATTTCAAGCGATTACCTGGAGGCAGCAGGCACTGAAGCAGAGACCATGATAGAGTGCTGCTTGCTGGCTTGCCAGCCATGGTTTGTCCAGCTTGCTTTATTATATAGCCCACTTGCTTAGGGATGGTACTGCCCACAGTTGGCTAGGTCCTCCCACATCAATCATTAATCAAGGAAAATACCCCCACAAACAGGACCACATGTCAATATCATGGAGGAATTTCTTCAGTTGAGGTTTCTCTACCCAAGTGGCTCCAGAGTGTGTCAAGTTGGCAAAATCTAACCACCTAGCTAGTCTTTCTGTATGTCCTAGGTGATAGCATGATCACATCCTTGCTATTTCTTCTTGTATCTCATTAGTAGAATCCCACAAGGAGTACTTTTTCTGAACAATTCCATCATTAAAACACTACGAGATGAGACCTTGCTTATAGGTAGGGAAACTGAGGCTAGCAGAGGCTGGGTCCTTTTCTCAAGGAGATGCTTCCTATAACAGAACCCCCTAGGTATGCATACATGACCACATGCTCAGGGCCATCACACCCACTGCCTCCTGAGTTCTAGCACTACTGGGATCTGTGAAGAGGAAGAATGAATGGAACCAATGGCTGATGCAGCTCTAGGCTCTGGGTCTCCTCCCCTCAAGTGTCATCCTCTCATTGGCTCTGCAGATTCATTGATCAGTGTCTGGCCAATGTCCATCATAGTACTGGGGAATGCAACCTGTTTCCAACTTCATGTAAAGCCACAACTCAGAAAGCTTGTAAATCATACTACTGGGTATTTGAGCCTGGGGGTTAAAGATGCTGAAAGGGGCTTTGTAAAGAAGGGCAATATTTAGTAGACAATCCTTCCACTATTTCTGAATCATTTTCATCTGTGGTTTGTCCCATCTGAGGAATCTGTCATTTTCCAAAAGCCTAGTGGATATCCATCAGGTTTATGGCCACTCAGGATCTGTTGGACACAGGCACCACAATTTAGGGACTCATGTGGCAGAAGCTAGGGCCTATTCTGCCAGCTTCCATTGTGTCTGTGGCTCAGACTTTTGTCCAGCCAGAGGTACCTATGCCAGACACTGAACCAGGTAGCTAGTAACACAACAGGGATACAAAAAACTCACCTTCTTTGGCTCTGGATAGAAACAAATCATCTCCTCCCAAACATAGTAAAATAAAAATTCGACTTATCAACTGCTTCTCTTCTGCCCACGCCCAGTTGCATCCTGCATGTTGATACAGGAGAATCCTCACCCTCTCAAGTATTCATGTGCAGTAGGTACAAAGAAAAATGTCAGGGGAACAAACACTGAGAGCTAGATTAGCAATTACTAACATGGGACAAAATGACACTGCCAGACGAAATGAGCCTAAAGCAATAATTATGTTACTCCTCTCCAGATGGTTGAAGAATCTCAAAGCATTGATATTCTTCTTTCTAGTTTCCAAGGAAGATGTTCCTGGTTATGGGAGAGTACCCTAACCTCCCTGAACCCTTATAGACTCAGGAGAAAGACCATTGCTTAAAGACTGCAATGAACAGGACACACAGTTTCTAACAGTTCCTGTTATAAGACAGTAGACACCCTGTTGACCATCATGCGTTTTTGTTCAGGGGAAGTATTTGAGATTATTCTTTTGTTGTCATAAAGACTTCACTTCCAGACAAATGTTAGTGACACCTCATATGTGTGAGATACAAGAAATACCAGACTGCCCCACACTCTAGGAAACCAGAAGACATGGAGTACCAAAATTGCTGTAAAGGGTTAGACGTTCTACAAAATAATGTGGTTGGAAGTAGAAAAGAAAGGAAATGAACAAATGTGCTTTGTTCCAGGACACAGACAAGAAATGTGAAAAGAAAAAGACAAGAAGGATGGGAAAGAGGTGCAGAGCAGTGAAGAAACAGAGATAATAGCAAAAGGAAGATCTGAAGGTGATATGATGAATCAAAGGGTATGATCGATTCTTACAGACCAAATATTCTTTCAAGGAAGAAGAGGCGAGAAATCCTGACCCATGCATCTGGAATGACAAGGTCTGATTCCTTGAATTCCGAGAAGGTCAACACTTAACAAAGGCAGGAAAAGCTACTGTTGGTTCACAACTAATTGAAAAAAAATCACCTAAATTTGAAAGAATAATTGCCAAGATCTAACTAATTACAAAGCAGGGGATTAGGAACAGATACTTTGGTTTTTAAATAAACTAAGGCATACAGGTTTGGGACATCATTCTATTCCCTACCTGTAGTTTTAGTGTGAAATTTATGCCATCCACTCATCCACTATCACTATCAGATGAAGAAAGAGACTTCAGCTTTCTTTTGGTAAGGCATCTCTCCAGCCAAAGTATCTAAGAAACTGGCCTTACCACGCTACCACAGACACACAGTTCACTTGAGTCACACAGACACACTGTCTGATTAAGATCTTAGCACATGACCTAAGACTGTTCTTGACATAAAATCTTGTTGGAATGACAAGGAAGCCAGGGCATCTTCAGCTAAGAGAATATGTAGTCTCATACTGGAAACTGTGCCTCAAAAGTGGCCAACAAAATGAAATCAGAGCCCAAATCTAGAGAGAGGGTACCCTATGACACTTAGCATCAGCACACAGTCATGTCGGGGCTCCATCTACCCTCTGGGCTTTTCAATATTATGAACTAAAATGAAGTCTTGTTTCTCTCTAAGTTGATTTCAGTTGAGTAGTCTTCATTTATGCTAATAAGAGTCTAGACAATATAACTCCTGAAGACATTTTTCTTATTTCCTATTATGCACAACCAATCTAACACATATTTAATCAACAGGCTATCTAACTTTATCACACAGATAAGATAAATATAAAGCAATCTTTGGTTGGCTACATTTGAACGTCTCCATCTCCAGAGCCCTTCAATGAGACAGCCAAGCTCTGATCCTAACCATCAAAGTCCCTTAAGATTCTCTGGCACGTGATCACACTTGCTGGCTGTGAGGATATCCAGATCAGACAGTAAACCCTCAGAAACCAGTTAATCTTCGGTCACAGCCTTCAAGAGCCAAATTAATGGCAAACCCCTTGCACTCTGCTCTTCCACCAGCACCTACAGTACTGAACACAGATTCCTAGAAATTTTCTTTAAATAATCTTAAATCAAATGAAGAATGTTAAACAAAACAAAGAACAGCCTCAAATCATATTCACTGAGTGAAATATCATTGTCATATGATATCATTTCTTTTGTCTTCCCCAAATTAGCTTAGAGAACAAAATTATTATATATTCATGATCTCTAGGCTAGATTTGAATTTTCAGGGTTGCTTTTTAAAAATCAAAATCTAACTACATTTGTTTCTTGCCCTTTTTTGTTTATTTGTGGCAGTAGGGAATGGAGCCCAGGGCCATATGCATGCTAGGCAAGCCCTCTGCCCTCTAGCCACATCTCCAATCATGGTATAATTTCTTTTTAAAAAAATCTTCTATTTTCAATAAAAGAAAAAATCTCCTATAGTAAAAAATAATATTGTATTGCTATATCATATTGATTGCAGAGCTAATCAATCACTTTCACACAACAAATACTCACTGTGAGAATAATGTCCTCGACCGAACAATGAACTTGAACACATATTCTAAAGCTTTTAGAGTTCTGAGGATGGGCTCACACTGTTCCCCTCTGCTGGAGGTATCCAAGTAAGTCTTCAGCACCGTCATCAATTTCCTGAATAACGGATAATATTTTCAAAATACATCTCTTTCTACTCCACAGCATGGTAATTAGTTTGCTCAGGAAATTATAAGGCATTCAATCAAAGGTTAAAGGTGGTGGTGCAGCAAAGCTCACGACTCATTTGCAAGCACAAAAATAACTGCTCCAAAATATATTTATTACAGGCAATGAATAAGTATTTCCTGCCCATAAAGAAGCCAGCAAAGATAAAGTTGTGAGGGAAAAAATAATCTTCTGACAAGGAAAAAAACTAGGCATAATCAGGGGATGAGTGAGAATGATGGTAATAATGTCTTTTTCAACTTCTTCTATATAGACATGCTATTGTAATTACCATGGAGCTCCTTTGCTTAGACACTTTCTACCTCTATTCATTACCAGTAGGTCAGACTTTAGAAGGCTTGGCCCATTTTTCAAGGTTTCTTCACAAGTTGGCTGCCACTGAATTTGCCTGTGAGTTTCCATCTTTGACCCTGAGTCTCCTACATCCAATCAACCCTGAATTATTGAGCATGCACACTGAGACTCACAGGTGACTTCTTAATACACAACAGTCAGCTAGCTGAATGATTGAATAAACTACCTGTTTGTCACTGTACACTATTCACCTAATCTCTGGGGTTTTGGTTATTTTTAGGATATGTGAATCATTCAAGCATGAGTTGGATAATTTGTTAGAAAAAGGAAAATTCACACATATGAGCGTCAATGGGAAATGCTCAAGTTCCCTGTGTCCCATGAATTTTGGGAGGACAAACACATGTGCATAGGAAATCCTTGTACACACAGCTACTTACTTGTAGGCCAAGGTAGCACTGAAATGCTGTTGAATGTAAGCCTCCAGGACAGTGTTAAAATGCTGGAATTTCCGGTCTGCAATGAGTCCTATTATATAAATCTGAAGAGGAGTCAGAATTATTGGGGGTGCTTTTGGGGAGGGGTAACCCAGAGCAGGAAACTATTCACCTGGTATAACTGAACCCTTATCATGATTCTTTTGTTCAAGAGATAATCCCTCTAATGAATAATTAATCCTTTTCACTAATACATTGTCTCTCCAAGAAAGAGTATTTCAAAAAGTGTGCTTTGAGGTATTAGGAAATTAAAGAATTTCCTACTCAACTAAGAGAAATCGGGTTGTCATTAGACTGTCTTCTTTGTGGTGGGGCTTCCAGGGTTGGTAAAAATCTTATGAATCTACAGGAGGCTCATTTAACATTCACCTCTTCCATCAGTAATTTAATCAAAGGACCTTTTAGTCTTGAAGCATCTTTACTGTAAGGCTAGCATTCTAGGGGACTGTCTTAAATGCACTTGAGAAACCCACTTATCTCCAAGCAACCTCCTTGAAGATGCAAACATTCATGACACAGGGCTATTGCATCAAGAATTTGATGGTCATAGATAACCCTAACAGTATTTCTTTCTTTAAAATTATATTAAATGTATTAATTAATTTATTGATTGACAGTGTTATAGGTGAAACCCAGAGCTTCCCACAGGCTGGTGAGCGCTGGAGCACAGGGCTAGGTCTCTAGCCCCGGTTTCTCATGCTTCTTTTCACATAGCATGGAGAAAATTGAAATTGCAAGACAGAGACAGGGGTGAGACCTATGGAAAGGCAGGAGGAAAGTACAGATGGCTTTCCACTGTGAAAAGTTCATTGGGAAAACCAAAATTACCCTGGTTAATTATAGGACATCAAGAAGAGATCGCAAGACAGATAGGGTAACACCTGGGTGGTTTATAGCCTGGCCTCGGTCTAGCTCCTGGCATTCCTGGAAAGCCAGACAGTCATTCAGCAGTCCCCAGTCTTATGAACTGTCAACCAGACATCAACAATCTGACATGAACACTTAACCCCACCCCCACTCCCATCACCGCCAAGCCTCAGACCCTCAGATGAACAGGAAACACCGAAGAGAACCAGCAGCCACTCATTGGTCTGCTTGCCAAAGGTTCTAAAACCTCAAAATATTCATGGACAGAACCACATAGCCCACATGTTGCTATTTTTCTCACGGTACAGGCATTCAAACCTGATGTGGCTGAATAATTGTCCATACTCTCTTACCATAGCATCAAAGACGAGGATGTCATACTCATTGCTTTGGGAGTGTTCCATCATGATGTTGAAAAGGGCATCCAGAGTGTCCTGGAGGAACTGGATAAAGAAGTACAGTTGCATTCAGAAAGAGGGCAGATAGTCCACACATCTCATCCCCATGTGTCCTTCCAAGAGAACAGGAGCACACATCCACCATGTGTCACATTCAAGGGTCCAGAGCAGTTTCATGCATAAGCTCCAGGACTTGGAGTGACATGATCCCACAGCAATGGCACAGATACATATATTATGACATTTCCCATGACAGCATTCTGCACCCTACAGAAGAGCAAAACCACTTCCATGTGCAACAATGAAGAAGACCCTGCAAACACTGTATTAAGTAAAAATAAGTTAGACATACAACGTTCCTTCTCAGTTAATCTGTATTTATGAACGCGAAGAACAAGGGAAAAAAGTCAGTGGTGATGGTGGTGAGCCTAATGGTTGCTCCTCTGATGGAAATATATGAGGAACACTGAGAAAACCTACCAGTGTTCTGCACCTTCATTGCCATAAGCTAGATGGGGTGTGCATGTATAAGAATTCTTTCAGCTGCACTTGGCAACTCTCTATACCTATATTATTGTATGTATATATCAACAAAATTCAATAGCCAAATGTTTTAAAGAAGAAAATAATAGAAGACAATGTAATTTACCCCCCTGCCCTCACCCCAGCAAGCTGACTTCTCCAGGCTGCCCAAATACAACAGACTTGGGGAATTCCTTTGCCTTTCCTAAATTAGGTAGATAGGTATTTAAAGCATTGATCAGGATATTCTGCTGTTGTTTCTCCAGGTTTGGACAATTAAATAGAACTTGATTCCCTTCTTCCCTCCTAAGGGATAAGTCAATAAATTTCCCATGATCTCTCAAGACCCAGAGTGACCACACAAAGATATCTGATCTCTGCTTTCTAGCTATTCCAAGTTCTTGATGGAAACATGATCACCAGGACTACCAGGAAACCGGTTCCAAGTCATAGTGCTACAAAGGAGAACTGGTTTAATTAGCCCTGCTGTACATTCCCCACTACCATGAGGAAGCAGTGCCTGACATTTGCATTGATTTCTACTTGCTTCACTTAAAATATAGCCCCGGTGTTTTTTGTTTTTTTTAACTCATCATTAGTATATATAATGCTTTCTAAGCAGCACAAACTATTTTTTAAATTTCTACCAATATGCATATAGTATTAAGATACCATACTGTTACTATATGTGACAGTGGGTAACAACAAAAATATTAGTTAATGTATCTTGACTTCCCCATGTTTTATATGTTTTAGTCCACCGAATATTATACACGATGTATAAGTGACTGTGTTGAGTAATTTTTAAATGTTATCACTTCAAAGGCTCATAACAGTTCTGAGAAATGTCTCATAGTCATAATATTATGACACAAAAACACGCAAGTGGGAGAGTTGAGATCTACAGCCGAGTTGGTTTATTTCTAAGGCCTAATTCAGCAGGTTTTTTGGATGCCCAGTGTTCAGCATCCGCCTGGATTCCCCCAACAGAGTTTCCTCAAGGTGGATTGGGCCAGTATGTCATCATCAGAGGTCAAGTCACTCCACTCCTTCAACATTTTGTTCTGCCCCTCACAGCTCTGACACTGGTGAATGAATCCAAGCAAAGTCCACTGACCTTCACCACTTCCTCTCCATCCACAATCTTCAACTTCTCTAAATTCTCCTGGAGCAGTTGTGGCTTCATCCGCCACTTGAGCAAACCCAGCAAACCCACTAGAGAAGAATCCAGAGAGAGATTTATCATTACTGGCTAAACCGCCCACATCTGGCCTCCCCTGGGCTTTATGCAATTGTGCACAAACACCACAGACCCAATTCTCAATGGTTCCATTACCATTCTGCGTGAGCTTTGTGGAGCACACCAGGGTGGAAATGGAGAACACATCACGGGAGCTGACAGAAAGGCCCCCCACGCTGCTGGAGCTGCGGCTCAGAGTGGCTCCCTTGTTTTCCACGTGGTGTCGATAAGACGGAAGTGTCAGGTAAGCGCTGGCATCTTCCATCTTCTTGCTGTCTCCCTAGAAACAACACTTTGGTCACTGCTCCAGGGCAAGCCACACAGAGCCTGCAGTGGTCAAATTATATACGTTGTAAGGTGGGAAGTTCTGAAACAGTAAGGAAATGATCAGAGAAGCGGTATGAGGCAGGGCTGTTTTCCCACAAAAGCAGTAGGAATCCAAAATCACATTAATGGAAAGGGGGTGGCTTTGAAAACAATATAAAGGGTTATAAGAGAATTGAAACTCCCAGATCATAAAAAATCCACCTTAAATTTTTGAGACAAAAAGAAAAGGTAAGATGCCAACCAGTAATTCAGGAAATCTATTCTAAACTAGAGGTTAATGACAAAGGCCATACGTCTGGACCTTCTTTGTTATTCACGTCCATGTCACCGTTAATTCATTCTTTGTCCTCTTTGGGTCATCTTTCTCATTCATAACTGTCACGGGGTTTCTCAGAAGGATAGGCATGATAGGAGGCCGTACTGTGTCCTCACTCTGCAACAGGATCTGTATCATGTCCCTTTTCTGCCTCAGTTCACCTCATTTAAGGCTCATAACCATCCAAAACATATCCTGCTAGCCTCAGTTTGCGGCTGAGGAAAACTAGGATTGGTGCAATTACGTGCAAAAGAAAACAACTGCCACTGCTCCTCTGCCCCCAGGTTCACAGACTTTGGAGGAAGAAAGACTTTCAAGCCAAGATGATTCGATGAAGGAGAAAACAGAGGCTATAGAAGAAAGGAGCTTTCTGAGAAGGGCAAAGAGTTTCAGAGAAAAGTATTATGTGATGTAGTTATGTTGGTCATGTCCATTGTGGGCATCAGGACATTTGCAGTGTGAAAGCTGAGAAATCTGAGATGACTATCTGGCCTTTATCTATGCCCATCTCATGCTTTGCCTCCAGCCCAAGACTGATAGTTGTATCCCTCTGTCCTGACAGTGGAAAACAATGCAGAGAAGATCCAAGAATACACTCCCCAAACCATCTTGTGAATAGCACAAGTCCCCAGAGGTAAAAATCAGAAGAGTGAGTATAGGTAGGTATACACTTTAGAGCTTACACTGACTGCCCTTTCATCTTGTTGAGTTTCCACACCTACCCCCAAAACTGCTTGCTATGGCTTGACTGCGATGGTTAGCATCAACTGCTAACCTGACAGGATCTAGGAACACTTAGGAGACAAGCCTCTGGGCATAACTCTGAGGGAGTTCCTACACTGAGTTAAGTAGCCGGCTGTGGTGGCATACATCTTTAATCCCAGCTCTTAGGAAATAGACAAAAGCAGGTTTCTGTGAGCTCAAGGTCAGCCTGGTCTACATACAGAGTTCCAGGCCAGGTGAGATTCTATAGTGAGACTCTGTCTCAAAATATAATAAAATAATAAATATTATATTAGATCAA